TGTAAGAACAGAAACACACCCCTTCCCCACAACATATACACACAAAACAAAACAAAAAGAGCAGAGAGCCACATAATTTAGACTTATTGGGGCTTTGCTGTTCAGATAGCCCAACCAACCTCACCTTACACATGAGGAAAATAAGTCCCAGAAAAGTTATCTAATATGACGAAGGCTGGATTCTAGATCCAATGCCTCTACTCCACCTTCATTAGACCATCTTTCTCTAAAAAAACTTGGGGGTGGGAGAGAGAATTGCCATTTTTGTTGTTGGCTGACTCATCAACGAATCCAAAGATCTTGGGAATCTTTCTCTCCTTGCCTCTCCAGGACTAAAAGCTAAACAAAACTAACATTCCAACAGATTCCCCAGAAAAACTGAAATTCTCAAAAGTAAATATAGGATCCGAATCTGTACAGAGCCACCAGGTTACTGCAGAACAACACAACAATTCATTTTCAAGTCCTTTTCACATAACTCCCCAAGAAACCACAGCTCATGAGAAAAAGGAGTCTGAACTCCAGATCAGATCAATGGCATTGTGCTGGAATGAGAAGAGCCTCCGACAGGAAGCAAAGCAGACTTTGCAATACTCAGAAGAAAGGGAAATTTCCTGTAAGCCTCAGGGAACCTTTCCCAGGTCTCAGCTGCTGAGAATGGAAAGATTCTGTAGGTTGTTACACCCATGAATCAATTTCGTCATTCTTAAGGGTCATAAGCTATGTTTAGATTTAGTTTTCCCATTAAACCAAAGGAAAAATATCATTCAGAGATCAGAATTAGGGAAAGCTGGGAAGAGGGTGTGCTGGATCCCACTTACTGAGCTGAATGATGGGACTATGGAAGGTCCTGCCTGACTTCCTGCAGCATCTGTATCCTAAGGCCGCAGGACATCAACCACACAACCTTTTTTTAGGTTATCAATCAGATTTTGTTGCTAAAGTTGAGTTTTCTGGTGGTTTCCGTTTACAATGAAAAGCCTTTCTATGTGGTATGATTGCTAAGATGATCAGGAGGGAAAACAAATGCTAAACCAAAGATAAGGCACAGAAAAAGTTTAACCAGTAAGTTAGGTTAAAAGTTTTTCTATATTAAGTAGAAAGTATGCCAAATGAGTTGCTTTAATTTCTAGTTTGACAAAGTTGGATTGGTTCCTTTTGTTGAGTATACAGAAGCAATACATAACACTGTTTCCAAACCATACACCTTCAGAAGCTTGACAGTTCCTAAAACTAGGCTAACTATAGACTTTAAACAAAACTCAGACTTTCGTAAAAATTCAGAGACTACCAAACTTTGGAAAACCCAATCCACGTATTAATGACATCACAGACTAAACGCTTAAGCTTCAAAAGGGAAAGTAAGCCCTGGCTGGTTTGGTTCAGTGATTAGAGTGTTGGCCTGTGGTCAAAAGGGTCTCAGGTTTGATTTCCAGTCACAGGCAGAGTACCTGGGTTGCAGGTTTGATCCTCGGCCCAGTCAGGGCCCCTTCAGGAGGCAACCAATCTGTGTCTCTTTTGAACATGGATGTTTCTCTCTCCCCTTTCTCTCCCCACTTTCTACTCTCTCTCAAAACCAATGGAAAAAAAATATCCTCAGTTGAGGATTTATGGAAAAAAAAAAGGGAAAGTAACAAATATCAAATTCTAGAACATACAGATTGACTTTGTTTCAATATAATTCTTTAAAGTTCTGTTCAAACAGAGATATTATAAAAGCGCAATATCATTAGTATCAAAAATTTAGTAAACACTTTGTTTCTAAGTAATAATACAGATTAGTCAAATACTTTCTTTGTTATTGTTGTTAATACTCACCTGAGGATATTTTTTCTATTGATTTTTAGAGAGAGTGTAAGGGAAGTGGGGGGGGGGAGATATCAATGTGAGAGAGACACATCAATTGGTTGCCTCCAGCACATATCAGGGCTGAGGATGGAACTTGCAACCCAGGTACATGCCTTAGACCCAGAATTGAACCTGGGACCCTTTGGGTGCAAGGGCCAATGCTCTAACTACTAAGCCACATTGGTCAGGGCTCAAATTACTTTTAAGTGGCTTTGAGATTGATAATTTTAAGAGACCCTCTCCCACCCCCTGCCAAGAACACTCTACCATTTCAACAGCCAAATAAACTTAAAGCAATTAGTCACTGAAAAAAAAACATAGCCCAGGCTGAGTGGTTGTTTGAGCGCGGTCCCCAATAGAGGGTGTGCAAAAGGCAGTGGATCAATGTTTCTCTATTGTCGATGTTTCTGTCTCTTCCTCTCTTATCCTCTCTCTGAAATAAATAAAAACATGTTTTTAAAAAATTAAAAAAGACAAAAACATACACACACACGCTTATTGACTAGTTCATGTTTATCTGTAAAACTTAAAAAGCATCTATCTACAGCACAAGATGGTTGAAAATGAAAATCAAAATGAGACAGTGTGTGAAAGTATTTGATAACTACTTAAAATCTTAACATATTATAAATCAGTAAGTAGTAGAGTTTACACAAAGAACAGTTAAATAGGAGTAATGCTGTAAGTTGGTACAATAAACGAGTAGGAGACAAGGTGTCACTAGCCTGGCATCTAATCTTAGTTCAACCAGTAAGCACCAGTAACCTCATCATAAGACAAGTCACTAATGCCCACTGAGCTCCACTTTCTTATCTGGAAAGTCACAGAACTGAACCAGAGATCTAAAGTCCTTTTTGATTCTACTACTTTGATTAGTAATATTTCACACCTAAATTACTGCTATTATAAATAAGTAGCATTTTACATAATTAGATATTCTCATTGTGTACCACCATGTCACAAGTGGATACCCCACCTTTCATAATTCAGCAGATACAGCAGTGAGTACTACCACCTTTTATAGACTTATGTGCAGACCTGTGACATGTTCAAAGCACTATGACATATTCCTTCACAGGATGGGTCGAAGATTAAACAAGATGAAGACACAGTTTATCCCTCATTTATCAGACCAGTGAGCTGAAGTCAAGATCAAGTCATCTACAACAACTCAGGTGCAAGAGTAAAAGCTGGAAGGAGAAAGCAGGTCCTGTGCTCTTCTCAATCAGGGATAACTGAGCGTCTAAAATGGAAATGTAACAGAGCCAACCTTCTTATGTCCAACTGGCTGTGGAAGGAAAGCAGGCAGTCCCTCATTCACATTTGCTAAACCACTAGGCATTGTTCTTTCTGGCTGCCAGGGACACAGTAATGAACAAAAGAAAAATCCCTGGCCTCACTGAGCTTACATTGTGGTTAGGAAAGATCAACAAGGGAAATGAGTAAAATACAGGGTATATTATAGTGGTAAGTGCTATGGAGAAAAATAAAACATGAAAAGAGGATAGAGAGCATGTGTTTGGGGATTTGCAATTTTCTTTTAAGCTGGCTGGATGCCACTTAAAGAACTACAACAATAATGCACCTAAAGTAGTTTTCCTAAGCATTTCCCCAAACAGGGAACACTGTGGATAGGGAGAAGACTCTGGCCTACTGATTTCAATTTGAGATTGCTCAAACCTCTGACCTACCAACTATGAGCTGTCATATCAGCAACCTAAATCCCCAATAACAAAGACTCCCACCACTACCACACCTTTAAATCCACAGAGTGGAAATTGATTTACAAAAGAGAGAGCCAGGAGAGGTTACAAGAGCACTTGAACTGCTTCTTCTGAGTTAGCACAAATGTCTCCTAATGTAAAGGTTAAAATGTAGTTTGTGTGTTGAGTTCTGCTAGGACATAGCCCTAAGAATGCAGTACATGTCATTTTGCTTTTTCTGACTTGTCAATTCTAGTGACATTCTCTACTATTAGTCTATATTTAACCAGCTTACTGGGCAGTTTTTCCAGCTTTTAGCATTTTTTCCCTTTTATTAAAATAGCAACCCAGTACAATGAACATAACAGTCTGAGGAAGGGGATAGTCCAATCCCCTAAATAGGGGGGTGGTGGGGGAGAGATAAACCACAGAACTTATATGCATGTATGCATGAACAGTGGACATGGACAACAAATTGGGGAAAGGGCAGGGAGGGAGAGGGGGGGAATCAGTGGGGGAAAAAGGAGAAACATCTGTAACAAAAATTAATTAATAAAAAAAAATAGCAACCCAGTTTGCAAGAAAGTTGCTATAAGTTAACAGCCCCCTTGCAACATCTGATACACTTGGTTAAGCACTATCTCATCAACTTTTAACCAGGTTACTGGGATGGCAAGTCAGGTTAAGCTTTGTTTTACTGAAGTTTCAAAATGCTCTCAGTCGCTAAAATCTCCTGGTCCTCGAGATGTACCTGCATCCTGAGAATTACAGTAAGTCTTTTTAAATTCTCTACAGCTTACTTTTAACGTGTGTCTCTAATGCACAGCCCTTCTTTTAAACGGAGTTCCTACAAGGGAGTGGAAAAGACACATTTGACAAGAACTTCGGCCTCAGGGGTCAGATCGCCTAGCTCAAGGAGAAGACCTAACACGACAGGGTTTTCCCTCTGCCCACACCCGGTGCGGAGGTTGTTTGTTTGGCTTCTCCGCGGGAGGGGCGCTACTGGCCGCGGGCCCCGCCGACTGCGCGTCGATTTGGAGGCGAACCGCGGGCAAACTTCAGCCGGGAACCACCGGCTGAGCCCCGCCGAGGGGGCGGCTCTTCTTGGGCGCGGCCCCGCCCTGCTCGCGGGTGCTGGTCCCCGGCCGGCCCGGGACGGCGTCCGGGGGCCTCCGGAGTTCGGAGGCCCAGACGAGCGCCGGGCTGTGGGAATCGGAGAGGGCCGAGGGACCGCGGCTCGGGTCCAGGGTCAACTACAGAGGGACGGGGGTCCCGTGGGGCCCGGCCCGCGGGTGGGCGAAGACACAGAAGCTGTCCTGAGGGCCCAGCAGGGCTGTCTGCGGGGAGGGACCCCCGCGGCTAGCGGTGAGGACAGGGACTTGGGGGCCACGCCCGTCCGCCCCGCCCCCGGGCTCCGGACAGCGCAGCCCCGCCCGGCCCCCTCCTCACCTGATGTACGGGCTTGCGGCCGCGAGGATGTTCTTCTGCACCGGGATCTCCTCCCCGTCGAGGACCAGGTGCGCGTCGCAGAAGCGGGACTCCTCGCGGAAAGAGCTGAGCGCTCGCAGCAGGCGCGCGGCGTGCTGAGGGTCGCACACCGCGCTGCCCTCGGCCATCGCGGCGCCCGCCAGTCAGCCGGCCGGTCCCGCTCCCGACGCCGCCTCGCCGGACCCCCGGAGCTGTCCGCGTCCGGCACGCGCCCCGTCTACACAGCCCGTGCACGCGCGCGCTCGCTCGGCCCGGCTCTCAGCGATCCGTGAACAAGCGGGAGCCCTCGGAACGCGCCTGCGCCATCCACGGCGCGAGTGGCCGGTACCTTTAAGAAGCCGCGGCAATACGTCATTTCTCTGCGACGCCCCCACGCCCTCGCTCCCTCCCTCTCGCCTGTCGTCGCCGGAGGCGGCCAATCAGAAGCCTCGTTCCTCTGTCGGACTCTCCACACCCCGCCCCCGCACCGCCAGAGGCCGTCCACCGCTAAGTGGTCGCTACGGCGGTGGAGGGTTGGGCGGGCGGGCTAGGACTCTGTGTTAAGCCGGGGGCCTCTGTAGCCCCGAGTCTCGGTTCTTTCACTCTCTAGCTGTGTGACGATAAGTACGGTGCCCATCTTCAATTTCTCCATCTGCAAAATGAAGATGATGTGAGATAAGCATGTAAGCAAGGGCGCAGTAGGTGTAGCTTTCGTTGTGTATGGGAGAAAAACCACTTGCCAGGTAAGAGCAGAGACGCGAGAAAACAGGCTCCGAAAAGAGCGTTTTGGTTGCGGCCTAGGGAGATGTAGCAGATGAAGCTGGAGAAGTAAGCGACAGGCCTTAAATTTTGCAGGGCCTCCTTGCTGTGGTAAGGAAGTTGGTCTTGGTTTCTTTAGGTGTTAGGAACCATGAAAGGGCTTTGAACTGGGGCCGAGGAGTCGAACCTGCAACCCACGTGCGTGCCTTGGATGGGGAATCGAACCCACTGAGCCAAGCCGGCCAGGGCAATTTAGGTATTTTTAACCATGTTTTATTTTTGGAAGGAAATACAGGCTCCTGGAGTTTGACCGTAAAGCTAATAACTGTGAGAACTGCCCATGTTTTCATTGTGCCTTGCTGCCTCTAGAAAGATTAACCTTAATGCTATCTTATTCTCATTTAACATATTATATTCCCCACATTGTTTTGGAAAACTTGAAAATCGGACAGGTATGAAAGAGAAAAGTGAGTTGCAGTATCACCACCCACTAATAACTGCTGTGAACATTATATACATATATATGTGCGTGTGTATGTGTATAAAATGTTCATATCAGTTACATATATGTATGCCAATATATTTTAAGTACAGTTTTATAACTTTTTAAAACTTATTACATTTTGACTTTGTCCCCTTATTAGTTAGTCTAAAAAGAAAACATGATTTTTAATGTCTGAAGTATTTTACTGGATGATGTGCCATAATTTATTTAACCTTTTGGTGAGCATAGTTATAATGTTTTTTCTGTTCTCTCTTATTTTAAACTAAGGAGGAATAAACTGAATCAAAGAAAACAAAGCAGAAACTTTCTTAGGTCTGAAAGAGAGGGATCCAGAGGTAATAAAATTTTATTTTGATTTAGAAAATTTATGTTTATGGGTAAATTATTCCATCTTGTGAATTGCTGGAAGCAATTTTTCCCATTTGCTTTTTATAAAATTAGACTGTAGCAAGACATGTTAATGGGTTTGATGAATGGTAGTCAGAGGAATCCAGCGAGTAGAATGCAGGTTAATTGGTGTTTGTTTACAAGGCTTCCTTTTGAGTAAACCTCAGATGATTGGCCAATGAAGGCCAAATTGTTTAGTTCTTAGAATTAGTTTTGTGTCTGTAAAACAAGTGGCCTCTCTCTGACTTTCCCTCTTCATTCCTTTTCTTTTTTTTTTTTAAAAAAGCATATATTCTAATTGGTTTTAGAAAGAGAGGAAGGAGGGGGGAGAGAGAGAGAGAATAAATGAACGGAGAGAGGGGGAGAGAGAAAAGTCCTGAGTCTATCAGTTGCCTCCTGCAGGCCCCCTACTGGGAATCAAGCACCCCCCCCACCACCATGTGCCCTGACCAGGAATCTAACCCACAACCTCTCAGTGCGTGGGATGACACTCAAAACAACTGAGCCACACTGGCCAGGGCTCTTCATTCCTTTTCTTGGAGAGCTTCCTTGGACACACACAGGTTGAACCTACTTTGAAAAAGCAATTGACACGGTCATTGTTTTGAAGGGTGACAGGACTTAGGATCTGGTCACTCTTAGTTGTTTCTCTTCACCCTCACCTTCATCTGAGGATATTTTTCCATTGCTTTTTAGATAGAGTGGAAGGGAAGGAGGGAAGGGGAGAGAGAGAGAGAGAAAGAGAGAAAGAGAAAGGAACATCGATGTGAGAGACACATCTATTGACTGCCTCCCGCACGACCCTGACCGGGGCCAGAAATTGAACCTGTAACCCAGGTACATGCCCTTGACCCGGAATTGGACCGGAGACCCTTTGGTCTGTGGGCCAATATTTCAACCACTGAGCCAAACTGGCCAGCGCAGATCTGGTTACTCTTGAGAGGAAGTGGCTCAGATCGAGCAGCTGAGGAGGAACCACAACCAGGCCCTCCAGTACTTACAGCAGGTTGGTGGGTTGGCTGGAGCCCCAGCCAGGTGGCCTTGTGTGGCCCCAGGCCCAGGGCCTGGGAAGCTTGAGCTTCCCCAGAGAACAAGGGTTGAGACTGATGTCCATTTAACCCCGACTTCCCTCCAGATTTGCACAAGAGCCCTTCCTCAACCTTCAGTGACCTGGGCAGGGAACACTGACTCAGGGTGGGTGTATCTGCTGCTTGTGAGCCAGCATTTCCCCTCCCAGGCTCCCCCTCATCTCTGTTGGTGCTGGGAAAAGGGAGCTCACTGTGCCCACTCCAGGGAAAAAAAGTCAACGCTGCATCTGATCTTAGATCTATAGCAAATGGAAAGGGCTTTTAAAATAAAGAATCGTGATATTTTGGTGGTCATTTGTCCTCTAAGCTAGTCTCGTTGATTGTATTTGCAAGTCTAAGGTAAACTAACAAAAGAGTGTTCATTGGAAGTACCCAATTTGACAAATGCCCAGGGAAAGCAAAACAAAACACCAGAAGGAATGTTGAGTCTATCATAATTAAACAATGTAGGGCACTTTTGCTTCTCATGTACTTGAAACATCCTTTGAACCTACTAGTTAAATTCACCTTCTCTCTCCTCAAAGAAGGACCCTGCTTGTGGCTTCAGGTAGTTCTAGTTGCCAGAAATGAACAGAAATAATTAGATTTCCTGTATCAGTGACTTTCAACCAGTGTGCCACAAGAATTTTAAAGCATACAATACCTGACTATTTAGTCAGGGATACTGACCTCTTTTCTCTTAGATTCTCAAATAAAATAATGACAACAGCCCACACACACAAAAAGAAAGAATAACAGAAAGGGCTTTGAGCAGGTGTTTTTATAAAGATCACTCAGCACTGCATAGAGAATGGGCTGGGGAGAGGGGGTGCTAAAGACAGAATGATGCTTAAATATTGCAGTACTTGGAAGAGAATGGTGGCCTGGTTGGAAGGGTAACGATGGAGGTAGACAATAGTGGATGGCTTTTTAAAAAGAGACAGAATTGTAAGGCAAGGAGAGTCCAGAATAATGTTCTGGGTTGAGTAACTGCATGGATGTTGGGACCTTTTAGAGATAGGAAATGCTGAAAGGATGGAAGCTAGAGAGGCCAGATAGTTCAGTCGTGACAGGAAGCAACTCTGGGTCAGCTTGGCCGGTAGGGCAAGCCCTATACTGCCTGAGATTTGCTCGGAGGTTGCTATGGGCACATAGGAATGTGGAATGTAGCCACCATTTTGTACAAACAGGTGCTCAAAAAGCTTACAAAGAAAAAGCAATTTTTTGAGGACCAAGGACCAGAAGAATGTGATCATTCCAGATAAGGTAGGATGCAGTTTTCACTGGATTGGCTCAGCCAAAGGCTCCAATAAAGTCTTGGGTTTTTACCCTGAACTAGCCAAGGCTTTGGAGTCACTGGCAGAATCAGAGTATATAACTCCAGTACAGTCACTGGCAAAGGAACAGATGGGAAGAAGGAAATTACCAGTGGAAGGTACAGGCATTCCCAGTCCCTTCTTCAAGTAGTTCAGTATTTACGGGTGAAATGATCAAAATGTTTAGCATTAGCTTCCAAACAAAAAGAAGGATAGAGGGAATTGGGTTGGGGTATAGGTGAATCAAAAGTGGCTATGGCCCAACTGATGTGGCTCAGTGCATTGAGCATCGTCCCACAGACTGAGAGGTCCTGGTTCAATTCCCATTCTGCACATGCCTGGGTTGCAGGCTCGATCCCCAATAGGGGTGTGCAGGAAACAGCTGGTCCATGTTTCTCTTTCACATCAATGTTTCTCTCTCTCCCCCTTCCTCTCTAAAAAATCAATAAAAACATATTTTTTTAAAAGTGGCCATGTCCCACCGGTGTGGCTCGGTGCATTGAGCATCGTCCCACAGATTGAGAGGTCCCAGTTCGATCGCTAGTCAGGGCACATGCCTGGGTTGGGGCTTGATCCCCAGTGCAGGGAGTGCAGGAGGCAGCCGATTGATGTTTCTCTCTAACATCGATGTTTTCATCTCTCTCTTCCTCACTCTCTCTAAAAAAATAAAAATAAAAACATTAAAATAAAAAGTGGCTGAGTTACTGATCGTTAAAGCTGGGTTATGGGTACGTGGAGATTTGTTCTACTAGTTTCTATATGTCTGTGTATGTTATAAAATGTCATAAGAAGTAAAAAACAAACAAGCAACTCAAGTTTTTCTTCTCCATGATACCTTCCCAGGATCCCAGGGAGCAGTTGACACTTCTTTCTGCAATTTGTTGCTGTATTTTAAACATTGCTTTGGCAGGAAATTTATTGTAATGAGTTTATTTATTCATGTTACCTGCTAGCTTGCACCTCGTAGTGCTCAGTGAATGTTAGATGGATGGAGGGATTAATTTTTTAATTGATTTTAGAGAGGGAAGAAGGTAGAGAGAGACACACACACACACATGTTGCCTTTGTGTGCACCCCAACGAGGGATCGAACCTACCCCTAGGTATGTGTCCTGA